CAGAGATAAAAGAATGATTAGCATTCAGATAAGTAAGATTATAAACATTATCCTAACTCATTTACTAACTAATCCCTTTTGCTTGATAATGCTTAAGTTCATCAGGCATAACGAATTGCTTAAACCCATAAATCTGCTGTTTCCACTCAAGGCCTTCTCTTTTCAAAGAAATGAAACACATAACACTCAGAAAATTGCCTTGACAATAGAAATGTAAACAAAATCATAAAATCATGAATGTGCTATTTGTACACTGTGCTACTGAACCCTAGCTGTATTGTAGGTATTGAAAACAGAACAGGTTGAAAGGAGGCAGTTATGCCATGACAGTTTTCAATTTATACTCACACTTAATCGTATCCTTTACAAAACAGATTAACTACTGTACATATACCAAGGAAAGGATAAAGAAAGGACAAACCTAATACATTTTTATCAACCACTACTGATTGTAAGACTTGTGCAAAAGCTTAGGGAAAGCAACAGCTGTCAAAATTTCTAATGAGAAATCTATTGTATTTGAGTAGCCTGAAATAATCTTTCAAAAAATAAAGATTATGATTCAATCTGACTGAAGATTAAATATCTGTCATTTTTAACACAATGAATCACACCAAAGATTACATGGATATAAGTATTCTATATTTATGGGTTTTCCAGGTCAATCTTCAAAATGCACCGAAAACAACTACTTAGAATAATAATGTGATTTTGCAGTCTTAGCGTGCCTAGTTAGAGTTTCAAACTAAATTCTGGGTTACCAAGGACCCCACATTTCTCCAGTCTGAGATGCTCATTCAGGACTTTGGAGGATCTCACAGCCATAGACAGTAAGCCTGATGGCCAAAGGAACAAAACGAAACATTGATCTGGGACAAGTGGTAGCAAACCAAGACCAAAGATTGGTGGAATCTCATTTTTGCCATTAACTATCAATGGCATTATGCCAATATTCAACCAACATCACTTTCAATCAGAGCATGGGAAGTGTTTTTCTCCCATTTGGTTCATTTGAGCTCAACCAGGTCAGATGCCTAGTCTTCTCTACAGTAGCGTCTGATTCCTGCCAAGGAGTCAGATGGTCTCACTTTCATGTCAGGGCTTCCATCTTGCTCTAGGTGGACGTCTGTGCCAGATGACAGGGATGTCAGGGAACAGACTAAGTCTTGCAAGAGAGTTAAATCAGGCAATTAAATCCTTCCAGGGTAAATCACAGAACATTTATGAAAATTGGAATTTTAAACAACCAGACAAGAAAAATTTAATCAAGTTTGTTATTGCTCTCCATGATGAGTATATAAATGGGTGAGTGATAGCTGCAGGAGTAATAATGACAAAAACTGGCCCTTAACAGATCAAAATATGGAAAAGTGGACATATTGAACGAAGTTATCATGGGTAGGTAACTAATGTCTCCTAAGTAGTCTCTTGAATTATTTTTCCCTACTTGTCAAGGAGCCAGAATTTCACCCTGAGTTGTTTCAGGGCAATAAAAGGACTTTGGGGAAAAAAATGTTATAGGAAACTGTTGGGTACATTTCTGTTTCTCATGTGGCTTTGAATATTATAATACTGATAGAATTTTAATTTTTAAACATTTGTTTAAAAAAAACACTGAAGACATACATAGAGTCTAACCATTAAGCAGTGTTTAACCAGCAAATGCTCAAAAGTTAGCAATGACCCTATTAGGAACATTTCAGTGGTGATGTTTAAGGAAATTGGAATATGACCTAAGATGCAGTAATTACAAAGATATTACAAATTCTATTATGTAGGTAAAAGTCTGGAAACTCGAACTGCTTAAAGTAGACCTAGCTAACCAGACTGATAATTACTCTGAATGATATGTAAATCACATACAGGCATTGTAATTATGTAATTGACTGTGCTTAGTATATTTATGTCAATTATCTATGGAGTCAACTTCATCAAGAAAAACCTAGTGCTGATTCACTTTGGTGACTTTTTATTTTTTCTTTTTTCCGTTTGCTTTGCCAGAATAGTCCTAAAACTGAATAAATTGTTTCCTAATTTTATCCTTTGCCTTTACTGGCATTTGCTTCTCATTTTCCAGTCTGAACTACAACCAGCTACTTCTGTGCAATAAAAACTTGGAGTCATGAAACAAAATGGTTGTTCCAAATCTTCAGCCTGTAGGCAACCCACCGTCAGTTATCTTGCATGTTAATCTGGAAACAGGGAAACATCCTAAATTACAAGATATGTTTAAAAGATTGTGTAATTGCAGTCACAATAAAAGGCAAACTGCTCCTTTCTTTTTAGGTCTGGCACTAAAAATGACTGTAGAACCTTGAGTATTATTCTGAAAGAGCTGTATGTAAGAACATTCCAAAAGTCTGCGTGTAATGGCAGTGTCAATTAAACCCTTCTAAGGAAATCTAAAAAATACTAGCCAACTGTCATATTCCCATTTTTGGAGTAACTGGAATGACATCACCAACATCATATAATCATCATCATGTAAAGTTGGTGTGGTTCAGCAGATTTCTAGGACATGTCGCCTGCGACACATGGGTGGTGTCCAGCTTAGTCCAGGCCTACAAATGATGTGAAGATTCCGTGTGCAGTCCATCCTGAGGGAACACATAGTTCCTCCACAGTCGATTTTGATAGGCAACAAACAGTTGGCTCCATGGTAGTACTCAGGAGACTCTAGCCTGTAGTCCAGAGTCCAGGGCCCAAAGCGGGGCGGGGGGAATAGCGGGACTGTGGCCAATAGGCAATTTGGCAAAGTTCAGGAAAACGTTCTTCAAAAGCCATGCTGGGAAACACACCTCCTCTGAAGCACACATAATTAGCTGAAGTAGCAAATACACTTTTTTTTATTTTTATTTTTTTACTTATTTCAATCTGTGACATTCCTAAACATTTCTCTTTGGCTTCCAACTGACTCATCAATTTGGAAAACCGAGGCAGCTTAAATATAAGCGCAGAAATTCCAGTGCCACTTTGCTTAAAATAAAAAGTACTCTAGACCAGTGCTGTTCAATACACTAGCCACATGTGGCTATCGAGTACTTGATATACTGAAGATAGAAATTACACTCCAGATTTTGAAAAATCTGTATAAAAATAAAGAATGTAAAATATCCCGTTAATATTTTTAATATTGACTACGTGTTATATAATAATTTAGATATATTGGATTAAAAAATATTAAACTACAATTAATCTCACCTATTTTCTACTTTTTCAAATGTAGCTAATAGAAAATGTAAAATGACCTGTGGCTTGAATTATATTAGACAGCACTCGTTCTAGACTGTAACTTCTACAACCATATTATTCTGATTTACACTCTATTCATGTATCTGTAGGCCAAATGAGCTCTTACAGTTAGAGAAAAACCATTGGAATTCCAAATTCAACTTTTTAAATGACGGAAATTATTCAAGTTTTTTCTTCTTCATGGTAAATGAGTCTAGTTTATGCTAGGTACCTGACCTTATCTCAAAACAAAAGCAAATAATGTGGCAACTGTCAGCTCTAAAATGCTAACTGTATTTTATTGTTCTTTGTTGAAACTTCTTTAAGTATTTTGCTTTGTGATTATATTGTCATTTGGGGTAATGTTACAAAGTAGTTTGTCAAATTAAGACTCAACCTGCAACAGTAGGTATTGGCCTAAGTAATCTTTGATAGATAATACATCCCATTTTAGCAAGCAATAGAAATGTTGGCTGTTCTTTTAAAAATGTTAACATAATTTATCCTAACTTAGGTTGTATTTATATGAAGTCTACGAAAATCATTTTTTGACTGAAATAACTAACTTTTGTGAATCAGTTTGGATTTCCACCCCCACTGAATTGCCTAAGTTACTATTTAGGGATTATCAGGACTTAATCTTTAAAATATGATTTGAAATTTAAAACTCCAATTGATTTTTAGACAGTGTAATTTACAGGTTAAAAAAGCCAGAGGGAATTACCCTCACACCCATAAATACTCACCAAAGAATGGGCATGCGCCCTCATTTAAATGCGTAAATTCAAAAACAGATGTTGGCTCTGGCATTTGCATTGCTGTTTTTATAGTCCACAGGGACAGCCAATGCAGTCTTGGAATGATATAACAACAATTTGGGGGTGGACTGGGATAGATGATGTGTTCTCATCTTCCAACTAATTGACACTTTCTAACAAGATCCCTTTCCCTCTTTTCCTCCCTCCTCAGATATATGGGACAGTTTCCATACATACAGTGAAACCAGTGAGAGCTGGAACTCTACGCAACTACCTTGTTTTTCCAGGTCTTGCAAGTTTCCCACCTTTGACAAGGTGCAGTCTTACCATTTTTCTATCACTCTGTATTAGTGGAAAATATTTGCATTTTCTTTCTCTGACAACTTTCTGCCTTATATAGGTTCTGGCTTTCGCAGGTTTTACTGTATCTATTAAGTCTTACTGGGAAAAGTACACCAGGAAATAGGGTTTTCAGATGACAGCTATTTTCCTTGATTTTTTAAAAGGGAAATCTTAATGCTCAGTGATGAAGGCATTTTTAAAGCTTAAAAATGGTGAACGCTTTTTTAATAGTAAAATTGAGAATTCTGAGAGGGAATAATGAAAGAAAGGAAAGTAGGAAGGAAGAAAAGAGAGACGAGGATAAGCGCTCTCTACTAGTTAAGAAATGATAAAACAAAACAAAAAATGATCTTGCTCTGAGCTTAGATGATGGGCCTCTTCAGGACCCCTATCCTCCATGTCAATGACCTGGCAGGCCCCTAAATCATGGTAGATAAGAAGTCCTACCATATTTTCTTCTCAAGAGGACAGCAGTAAAGGAAGATTTATACTTGGAAAGCAAAATGTCTACAATGTGCACTGAGTTCCCATGGCCTCCAGAAACCAGAGACTGAATTTCATTTCCCAATTTAATAGTTTTAAGGAAGAGCCAAATAAAATTTAAGATGTCTTTTTTTTTTTTAATGAGGATTTTTATGTGATGGTCATTTTCAATGTCTATCAGTTTTGGTCTTTAAAAACAATCTTTTTTTTTTTAAATTAAGGAAATTTATAAAAAACGTGATACATAATAAATTTGATAAAATGTCCATTTCAACTCAAACTAGAAACAACTCTAGGATACTTGAATTGGTGTGATTTTTGTAAGGGAAAGTTGTTGCTATTTAAATCAAAGAGAAGTTAGATTTCTTCTCAAAAATATTATAAAAATATTAGGTCTAATGTTCCAGCTTCTCAGGAGTCATTTGAAATCAGTGATTTTGTTGTTTGTTTGTTTTTATTTTTTAAAGATGAATAAGAAGTTGCATTGTTCTAAATCTTTTGACATGGAAACTTTCAAAACTACATTGTAAAATATGGGCACTTCTAGTCCAAGTATGAAAAAAAGATACACTAGCTTTTCAGAAATATCTTTAGTTCATATGTGGTATATCTAGATAACCATCAATCCAAGGAAGAAAAGGCTCTTATAAGAAACAATGTAGTTCTTATTCTAGCAAAGTCAACAATGATCGTAAAATGGAATGTTATTCCCACTCTATTCAGCCATTTTTGCACCAGCCTGTGGAATAGATTTTTTTAAAAATATTTGAAACTTGCTCATTATAGAATTTATCCATAAAAATGTTCCTATTTGTAAAGTTGTAAAAGCTCATGAATAAATACAATTGTTTCTAAGAAATGACAAGTCTCAGTCCTTAGTCTAAGTCCCAATCTTCTTTTTCTTCCCTCAGTGTCTTTCCCTCTACCTAGGTTTTTTTCATCAGAAGATTAGAGAGAGGTGAAGAGAAGAATGCGTTCCTCAACATGAGTTTGTAAATACTTTCTCCAACATTGTAAAATGGCAGAATTTTATGGAAGAACAGTTTTGGTTACCATTAATATAAAAAAAACCGAAACCTGTTGCTGTTGAGTCAATTCCGACTCACAGCGGCCCTATAGGACAGAGTAGAACTGCTCCATAGAGTTTCCAAGGAGCAGCTCTGGTGGTTTCGAACTGCCGACCTTTTGGTGAGCAACTGTAGCACTTACTTTGCCACCAGGGCTCTGTTATTAATATAGCACATATAAATAAAGATAAACTAATAAGGCATTCTCCACACAAGCTTTAGGGTCATACAGTTTCACAGCCCTTAAAAACGGTTCAATTTCTTACCTATGAGTGGAATGTTTTTTGCTGTACTGTATGACTATAACCTATAATCATCTCCTTGTGAATGGTTTGAATACAATAATGACGAAAAGTAAAACGTTGAGAATGTTATGGGAACACATCTTGTAGGATGTAATACTACCTGGTATTAGCTGAGCAGTAGTCCGAAAGAATTACTGCCTTGTGAAGAAATCCAGAGGATATAGGATGGCTAGATTTGCAAAGCAAAAACAATTGGTTATTATTTACTTCAAATGTGTGCCACTGGGTCTCAGAAAATGTCTCAGTGTTTAAAAGTGGTGATGTGTTTACTTGCAATTTCAAATCTAACTCATCAGTATTAGTTATCCATTACATGCCATAGAAGACACTAGTATTTTCATAAAGCAGTCACATGCATTGAAGCTAGGATTACCAACTGATATATATGTATTTTTTTTGCACCTCAAAAACAGAATCACTATAGTGAATATCATGCTTCCACATCTTCCTTGCTGAAGGACAAAGTGCATAAAATGCCAGGGTTTGGCTTCCAGATCTGAAGGAAACCGTTTAGTACTCTGGCAGGTTTACATCATACTGTTGAGCTCCAAGTTCCAGATCAGGGTTTTCCTGCGCTTCTTTAAGGTCTGCTGCTTCCTCCACCGTCTTCAGCTTTTCCTCTGTTAGGCCCTCTTCTATTTCCGGCTCAGCCACCTTTATCCCATCATCCAGTGCTTCTGGTGCCATCTTGGTGGCCTCAGCAGCATTTATATCTACATCTTTAATTTCCCCTAAGGCCTGCTCCTTCATCAGCTCAGCCTCTGCCCCCTCAAATGACACTTGGGCCCCATCTCCTGGAACGTTCTCTTCCTCTGCAATAGCTTTGATGTCCTGGTTGCCATCTTGGACTGGGGATGGGTCTCGGCTGGCTTTCTGGCTCTCCTGGATGCTGCTGTGACTGCTGGCACTTCCCAGTCGGGAAGAGGCCACCACCGCCTTCACTGCTGCCTGATGGGAAAGAGAGAAGTGTCAGGGGTCACCTCCACTTAAGATGCTCAAATCAGAGCTCAACCCCAACTTTGCTTTTAGGGAGTTTCTTTTACAGGTCAGTGCTCAATCTTTCAAAGTGTATTATTCCAAGATTGTTTTTAGAATTAAAACTTTTTTGGGGAATGAAAGGAGCCCTCTCAAAAAATTAGAATAGAACTACCCTGTGATCCAGTAATCCCTCTCCTAGGTATATACCCTAGAGACCTAAAAATAATGACACGAAGAGACATATGCACACCTATGTTCACTGATGCTTTATTCACAATAGCAAATAAATGGAAACAACTGAAGTGTCCTTTAAAGGATGAATGGATAAGCAAATTGTGGTACATACACACAATGGAATATTATGCAACCATAATGAAAAACAATGAGTCTGCAAAACATATTAGAACATGGATGGACCTGGAGGGCATAATGCTCAGTGAAATAAGTCAAGCATATAAGGACAAACATTGTATGAACCCTTTTTTATAAAAGACAAGAATAGGTAAATATAAAGAAACCAATGTTCATAGGTGGTTATAGAGGGAGAAGGGAAAGTACACTTTAGATAGCAGAGACTTGTTATTATTATTTTTTTTGGTGACAGGAAGAGTAGCACCAAATGTGGATGTAGTGAGCACAGCACAATCAAAATAAAAATGAGTCTTTGAGCACGTATGAATGGGTATAGGCATATTGGTTTATGAGTAGGTACAGGTGTGTACATAGGTGAGAACAGATTGAAATATCGATAAACCAAAAACTAAAACCGAACCTATTGCCATTGAGTCGATTTTGACTCATAGCGACCCTATAGGACAGAGTAGAACTGCTCCCATAGGGTTTCCAAGGAGCAGCTGGTGGATTCAAACTGCTAACCTTTTGGTTAGCAGCCAAGCTTTTAACCACTGAGCCACCAGGGGTCCAGAAGTATCTATAGGTATGTGTAAATACAAATACGTAGGTGCAAGCACATATATTCGTTGAAGGCACAAATACTGATACTCCACAGACATAACCAAACACCTTCTAAGATTGGTTTTCTGGATTTGAAAGCTTAAGACCACAGTCTTATGGGACAACTCAGCCAATTGGCATAACGTAGTTCACAAAAATCATGATCTGCATCCTAGTGAAGTGAGGAGCATCTGGAGTCTTAAAAGCTTGTGAGCAGCCATCTAAGACACAACTACGGGTCTCTATGTGCCAGGAACAAGTCAGTAAGAAGAAAACCAAAAGCTCAGAGAAGAAACAAGTCTAATGCGATCTCATCCACCCTGAGACCAGAAGAACTAGATGGTGCCCGGCTACTACCACTGACCGTTCTGACTGGAAATAGATGGTCCCGGATAGAATGGGAGAAAAATGTAGAGCAGAACTCAAATTTTTATTAAAAAAAAAAAAAAAGTCAGACAAACTGGAGCAGTAGAGAACAGAGGGCTCCCTGAAACTATTGCCCTGAGACACTCTTTAAACCTAGAACCATGCCTATTCCCTAAGATCATCTTTTAGCGAAATAGCAGAGTGGCATACAAAATAAAGGTTGTTACCCATAAGATCAGTGCTCTAGCTAAAAACCATCCGTATAAGAACAAAAGGTCAACAATTACTCAAAAGCAAAGAGAAGAAGATAAAGGAAACTAGAATACTGGAAATGGAATAAACAGAACACAATTAAAGAGAATGTCGACACATTGTGATAAATGTAACTAAATGTCACCGAACAGTTTGTGTGGAAATCGTCAAATGGGAAACCTAACTTGATGTGTAAACTGTCACCAAAAACTCAATAAAGTATTATTTTTTAAAAAAAGAAAGAAAGGAGCCCTGGTGGCACAGTGGTTAAACACTTGACTGCTAACTGAAAGGTCGGCAGTTGGAACCCACCAGCCACTCTACTGAAGAAAGATGTGGCTGTCGGCTGCGACAAAGATTTACAGCTTTGGAAACACTTTGGGGCGGTATACTCTGTCCTGTAGGGTTGCTATGAATTGGAACTCACTCGATGGCAATGGGAATGGGTTTTGGAGAATGAACAGCAAACCCTCTTTAATCCCAAATTAGTGTATTTAATCATCTGAACAACTGAAGGCCTGAATACAGGTGCTTTCCCATGGATTACCAGTTTTCAAAAATTTTAGACTGTGTATCCCAGAGTATTAATTTCATGAAACAATAGTTTCATGAATGGTAATAGATATTCTGGGCATATAAGAGTTCCATAGTCAAATTCTTTTGAGAAATCCGGGGTTAAGTCAAATTTATTTAATCCAGGGTATTTCTAATTAAGTTGACCTTAGAACTCTCTGAGTTTATTTATTCTGTATCAGCCTAAAGAGAAGAACCCTATTTTTGACCCCCAGCCATTCTCTGAGATCTTGTGGTTATACAGCCTGTCCTAAACACTATTATGTAATAGACAAGTGCCTAATTTGTATTCCATATACATTCTATAAAAATAGATATATTTTGGTGAATAATTTTCTATATCATTTTAATTTTTACCAAGTATTCTAATTATTTACCTCTGTACTAAATATAGTTTTAAAAATTGTTACCCAATTTTCACATATTCAGAAAGAAGATAACTTTCTGAATAAATATCAGTTACCTAAACAATGTCATTCAAACAGTTCAGCCTTAGATAAGATGCAACAATAATCTGTTCATTTCGTCATGAGTAGATCTCAATACACAACACGATTCCCTTTGCTAATAATGGATTTCTTATGAGAGGATAACAAAGCCATTAAGTGGCTTTATATCAAGCATTGACAGGCTTTCAAAGCAGGATTTTGATGATGAGTAACAGTATTAGATGATTATTCATGTGGGACTATTATTGATAGTTCAAGATAAGAGAGAAAGCTCTCTCTATTTCTTTAAAAACAAAAAACAAAACCTATGCCATCTTACCTTAAGCTTGCGCCGGGCATTAAATTCTTGGAGCTTCTTTTGTGCAGTATCCATGTGTACAAAATTGGCTGCTTTTCCTGTGACCCACGGGTGTTGGAGAGCTTGAAAGGTAGTCAGCCGTTTCTTAGGATCCAAAACAATTAATTTTCTGACCTGAAATAACAAAGAACCGTAGACTTTTTAGGGAGATTTTTATTAATTTTTATGGTGACCTGGGTTTGCCTCTCAGCTGTGAACTTCTAAGTCTTGTTCTATTTCCCTAGCAGTACCACAGAATATACATTTGAAGAAAAAATAAGTAAATACGAAAGATTTTAAGACCTCAGCAGACACTGTGGGTAGGAATGGCTTCAGGTAACAGTAGCTGAGGGAGTCTGGGAAGACAGTTGTGTGTGCCACCAGAGACCCCAAACTGGCAGCTTGCTTGCCAGCAGAGGTCAAAGAAATCAGTCCTGCTTGCCTGTGGGCTAGAAGTTCTTTGAAGGAAGACCCAGCATCTGAATAATTCTAGGCTATGTCTCACAATCACATAGAATTCAGAACTTAAAATATATCTCAATGGTGATGTAATTATTCATGCATCAATCACTCTTTCTGTGGGGATTACATGGCAAACAAAAGGTATAGTATCCAGCCTTTATGGAATAATATCCCATGATTCTTGACTTCGTATAAAATAGAGACTATATAGATTCAGAGACATGCTTGAGCCTTGCTTACATCTCTTACTACTTTTATGACTCTAAATAAACACATACATGAAGTGAGTGTCTGTAATACTCCCCCAGGCTCTTTTCTTACATTATTTCCATTTTAATTCCTTTGTAAATGACTCCTTATACGTATACATAAAAAAATTAAAAACCTCAGGTAATCCTTTCAATAACCTTATCAATGTGGAGTTATTAGCTCCCATTCACAAATGACAGATGAAAGGAAGCTCAGAAAGATCTAGTGGCTTGTCCAAGGTCAGACAACTTGTAATGGGTGAAGGTTGTATTCAAACGCATCCTGTGGCTACTACACCATGGTGCTTCCCAACGCAGTCAGCCTCTCCAGGCTCCGTTTGCTCATGCGCACCTCATGGGCAAAATGAGGGGCTTTGGATGCTTTAAGGTCTAAAGTCTCTTCTGACTCTAACAATCTAAAAAGAACTGAAGTCAGGCTAACAAAATCAGACAGCAAGTCAAATGAGGAATAAATATCATCTGGTCTCCATTTCACTTTCTTTCTGTAACAGCGTCAAAGGAATGCATGTTTGGGTGGACATACTGGGTTTGCAGAGGACAGTGATGTAAGACTGCTTCGGCTTAAAATCTGAGAGGAGGTGGAGAAAGGTAAGGATGGTTAAGAGAAAGAATGCATGGCACTAAGTAAAAATCTGATAATCATCATAGATATCATCTGTTCAACATGTGTACTAATAATTTTATATAAATAATACCTAATCCTTATAATATCCTTCACAATTAGGTATTTTCCTCTCATTGTCCAATCATTACTCTTTTCTTCCTCATTATTATCCTCCTCCTCGTGAAAATACAAAGAATTTATTGAGGGTCACTATATGCCAAAAACTTACATATGTAATCTTTACATTTGAAGAGCTGATGCACTGGATTGTTGACAAACTTGCTGAAGGGCAGAAAGATCCAGTGACATTGCTGGGATTCAAACCCAAAGCCTTACCATTATCCTACAGTACCTGACTACCCTCCCATTGATACAGTAGCTGCTGCTGAGGACAGATCAAATGCAAGCCTCCAAGGATTCCTCTAGTTCTGAAGTTTTATAAATTTATTAACCAACAAGGGCTCTAACTGAATGAAGGTACAGCATAGTTAACCCTCTTATCCATATAATTTTTATTACGGATGAAAAGAAATGGAAGGACTAAATAAGGAAACTTATTGAGTTGGTTGGCACTAGTTAAGTTGCATAATGTCATTTCATTCTCACAACAACCTAGAAGTAAGTACTATTATCATTTCAGATGAGAAATTTAGCATTGAGAGGTTAGATAACAAGCCCAAGGTCCCACTTCTAGGTGTAAGAAAGGTGAGACTTAAATCCAGGTGTGCTGGACTCTAAAAATCCATGGTCTTACCACTGATTGATTGTTTCATTTAATAAATATTTATTGAGCCTATATGTCTGTATGGTACTAACTTCTAGGGCACATATCTTGTCCTCTCCCAGAGCTTTCAATCTAATTAAGGAAGAAAACATTGAAACAAGTAAATATAAACAATGACTATCATGAAAGAGAAGTCCAGGGAGCAAAGGAGAATATGGCAGAAGGAACTAACAAATTGTCAGAGGGAGGGACTGAGGAAAGGGCAGGCCAAATGCCTCCCAGACGATGTCAACTGGAAGCTTGGGCTTGAAGACAGAGTTAACCTAGGCAAATAGGAGAGACAGAGAGAGAATGTGTGTGTGTGTGTGTGTGTGTTGTAATGGTGGGGCGGTGGAGGAGAAGAGGAAAGAAGGAAGGAGAAGACAACATTACTAAGCAAAGGAATGAGCAATGGACAGTATCTAGAGCTGCACTGATGAGGAATTGCAAATCTGGAGGGCTGGGCTGGAGGGAAGAGGGATCAAAGGAAAGTGATGAAAACTAAGTGATGGCATCAGAGAGGCTGTGTCATGTAGATCTTGTTATGGATTTTGGATGCTATTCTAAGAGCATTACTACAGAAGAGTGGCATGATTCGAGTTATTTATAATACCATCTTTCTGGATTCCGTGTTGGGAATGTATCTGAAAAGGGTAGGAAAAGGGGCAAGGAGATTAGACAGGAGGTTGTGGCAGTGGTCCAGGTGGGAGAGGTTGGTGAGTTGGATTCTGACAGTGGGGATGGAGGTGGAGAGGAGTGGCCAGATTCAAGAGATGTTTAGGAGTGAGCGGTCTGACTTGAGGGAGGAGGTGGGATGACACATCCACACATCTCACACACTGCCACTCCTCCTAATCACAATGGGAAAGCTGGGGACCCTACCAGATATGTTCGACAAAAGAACAGATGATAAGGAGGAAATGTCTGGAGGGAAGAGAACACTGTAAACCTGGATTGCCAGTGTTTATAACAAAGTCTCTCTGCTGGGAAGCTTAGCAACCTCAGACTGTCATTTCACCTCTCTGGGCTTTGTCACGCTCATCTTTTTAAAATGATGTAAGGACTAGATGACTCCTTAAATCTCTTGGAGATTTTTTTAGAAGTCAGCTTCTGATTATTCTTGTGTGAACTGTCTCTAGATGATTAATGTCAAATGTTTCTATCCCATGCTACCAAAACATCCCAGCTGTTGTTGAGTCAATTCTGATTCATGGTGACCCCATGCGTGTCGGAGTAGAACTGTGCTCCATGAGGTTTTTAATGGCTGTGATCTTTCAGAAGTAGACTGCCAGGCCTTTCTTCTGAGGTGCCTCTGGGTGGATTCAAACTGCCAACTTTTCAGTTAGTAGCCTACTGCTTAACCATTTCTGCCACCTAAGGACTCCTAATCCCATGCTAGCATCATCTATTTTATTTTAAAATAGGTGAGCCACTTCCCACAGTGTATATTTTTTCCTGAATGCAAACTAATGTCAACATTAGCTGAAGCAAAAAGCAATGTAATAGTAATAATAAACAATACAGTATTAGTATTGTGGGATTTGTTTACAATGCCAGCGATGCGTGATGGGACTTATATTAATATTAGGATATATTCATCAGTTGCAATGATATTTCAGGAAATGATACCATTTTATTTGAAGTATACATGAATCTAACAAGCCATATTAAAATAGAATTCTTGTATGTAAATTATGTTTGGATTCACTCAGCACTGCTTTCTTCATAAGCAAGGCTCTGTATTAACCAGGTAGTAAAAACTCATTAACTAATACCATAGTAATTTGTTATTTGTGATAATTCAGTTAGTGCTGAGTTAAAACATATCTATTTTTCATTATCTATAAAGAAAATGCACTAGTATGTGTTGAGTTATTAAAAAATACTTTAAAATTAAAAGGAAATAAGATATTAAGGCAAAAGGGGAAATTAAGAAAATGCCATTGCCCATTAATTGGTTCAAAAGGAATGTGAGGAATTTTATTTCATTTTGTCACACTTACCAAATCCTTGGCATTTAGAGATACTTCATCCCACCACGGGGAGATAAAGTAATATTCACAATTCAGAATTCTCCTGAACATGAACTGATCTCCTCTTTCATCATAAAATGGTTCAAATCCACAAAGTCTAGAGGGGCAAAAGACAGGGATTAAAATGTTTTTAAAAGCTTAAGTATATTTCATCAAATTTCTGCAAAAGTTCAAGGTCATCCTTGTTCATACAGCAAGCATGTAATTGCCTTGTTATATTTCATTTTTAATTATGTAAACACACAATCACACCTACAGGAAGTAAGAATAGATACATAACCAACTAAGGATTTTTACAACAAAAAGTTGTAAAAATAGTAATAATTATGACACAAAACAACAATAATAATAACTAACATTATAATAGGCATGGTGATAAGAACTTTACATGGTTGCTTTTTTTTTCCACCAGGAATTAAGAAGACACACAGATAGGGATACTCAATTTATTACAAAATAGAAGAGTTGGAGTTTGAGAATAAAGAGATTAAAAAATGTAAACAAAAGCCTTTTCATTCTTTTTTATTCAGCCCGGTTTACTGAATTCCTCCATAGAAATGTGTAAAGTATCGTAGTTATTTCCATCCTGTTCCAATTTTGATTTCAGAGTGAACAAAGACAGCAGCCAAAAACTATTATCAGGGAATGCAGCCAGAGATGAGCAGTCCAGAATCACCTCAACCTTGAATGTGACACTCACTTGGGTACACCTTAGAGAAATTCTACTGTGTTCACCTTCATCTTCCACTACAGGTCAACATGAGAATGATGGGGAAATATGGGAGAAAAGAAACAGGGAACCATTCTTGGAATCCTAAAGAGAGAGAAAACTCAAGTTGCTGGTCTGGGACCACCACACCTCGGCAGTTTGTGGATAAGTAGAGGATTTGAAATCACTAGAGACCAAAAAGAAACTGTTAAAAAAAAAAAAAAAAGTGCCTCCCAGAGTTTGTGTTGAGGGTGTTGCATTTGACATACACAGCAAAAAGAAAAAGAAGGGAAGAAAAGAAAGAGAATAAGCTAAACGACATCTTCACTCAAATTCTTCCCTCAAGCCAGCTATGTTCATGCAGAGCAAGAAAAGTTCAAGTGCATTCCAATATTGTGGGTTTCTAGAAGAAGTCATTTCTCATTTCCTTTTGCACAGGGAATGAATGTCCCACTGGGAGAGTTCTTTCTCTTCCAAATACTCTGGAGCCAGCCAGGAAATGGCAAGGGCAAGGCTCGAGGTGCTGAGGCCTGAGCCCAAGGGTCCTTCCTTTCCCTACTGTAGCCGTCTGCCCAGAGAATCCTGCTCCTGGCCTACCTGTGGACATGAAGCATAAGGAGAGAAGTGGTGAGCGCATCTCCACACCTTGACCGGAAGGGGCGTAGCCTTGCCTGGCTCTCTCCACCATCCCCAATACTAGAAAACTATGGCCTGTGGTTGGGTGGTCATAAAGAAATGAGCCAGCTTTCCAAGTTTGGGAGTTTAAGGAGCTCCTCACGTTTCTCCTCCTGAAAATCTAGACAGAAAGTGACAATTGAGAAGGCACAGGGCTCGAATGCTTTCTCTTTCATCTCAATCATGTCAGTGACTTTGTGCTTTTGACAGAGGTAAAAAGTTTATGTCATGTCAGCTTGAAAGGCCAAAAACGGAAGAAATGTCACACAGAGCAGCAAACCCACATGTACGTACACGTACACACACACACACACACACACACACACACACGGTGCAAATACCCTTCAGAATTGTAATATTTTAATGCTAGCAATGACAGCTTAGAACATATTGGGATTACACAGGCCTGAAGTGTGAATGTACAATACAGGGTAGCTCCAAGGCTTTGGGTAGAACTGTAGTGCTGAGAGCTGAAAGACAGAGTTTGAATCTCTGATACTTTCTAATTCTAATCTGCTCATTGCAGTGGTCAGAAGTGATAGAATGAAGAAAGAAAAACATTCTTTCCCCAGTGTAAAAGTAATCTCATATACAAGCAGAAGGAGTTCTATGATGTGGCCTTATGGATTCATTTTAATGAATTAAGCACTAAGTGTGGTAAATAGAGTTAACGATCTAACAGGCACAGCCCTGCAGCTTTTGGCTGTGGAGACATAGGATTTAGGACAATAGCTAGAGGGACCAGAATTCCTGGCAGAAGCAACAGAATGACCCTCATTCCCAGCCTAATGTCATGTTGAGAAATAGCAAGACCATGGCACAAAATAGCCTGGTGGTGACAAGCTAGATCTTCTACAAAAGAGAAAGTAAAATGCTAAAACGCTGCAACAACCACAACAAGGGGGCAGAGTGAACAGTGGTCTCTACTGAGAGCAGGAATTGAACTTTCATGGCTTTAGTCAAGAGTAAGCTGTAGACTTTACGTACATCCAGACAAATGGATGTAAAACAAGTCCCTCAACATTTGGAGGATAAGAGAAAGGATCTGATTGAGGTTCATCATGTAGCCTGATTATAACATTTACTTTCTCAGGCAGCATCAATGAAAAATGGACCTTGGTCCTAATTTTTCATTCTGTTACTTCTGTACTCTACTCCATTTGGCTTCACGCGACTCCTAGGGCACGAGTCAGGTATCTAGAAGTCATAGTCTCAGGTCACCAGTAGGCTACAGGGTACATATCAAAGCTAACCTGGTACAATGAAGAGATATGCAGGTCCACACAGCCTCATCTACCCTGAGACCAGAAGATCTAGATGGTGCCTGGCTATCACTACCGACTGTTCTAATCAGGGCCACAAGAGATGGACCCTGACAGAATGGGAGAAAAATGTGGAAAAGAATCTCAAATTTCTAAAGAAAATAAAAATAAAAAAATAATTACAGAAACCAAAACAGACCTACTGGACTGGTTGAGGCTGAGGACTCCCCGAGACTCCTGCCCTGAGATAGTCTTCAAACCTTGAACCGAAACTAACTCCTGAGGTCACCTTGTTGCTAATTAACAAACTGGCTCACAAAATAATGAATATCACCCATAAGCACTGTGCTTTTTAAAAAAATCACCTATATGAGATCAAGTGGTCAACAATTACTTCAAAACAAAGATGAGAGTGTAAAGGGACAGGGAAGTTAGATTAATGGAAATGGAACAACCAGAATGGAAATAAGGAGAATGTTCACTCAATGTGAAGAATGCAACCAATGTCACTGAACAATTTGTGTAGAAATTGTTGAATGGGAACATAAACTGCTGTGTAAACGTTCCCCCAAAACATAGTAAAATATTATGCTTAAAAAAAAAAGAAAAAAAGAGGGAGAGATATACAGGTCCAACGGCACAGTCCACTGGAGAAAATGTTGCAACAGACTCTTGCCAAGTAGACTTAATTGACTGTTAATTAACTACAGATTAAACTAGAATTCTCCAGGCTTAGGGGCTGACAGAAGTTAGTTCGGAACCAAAGGATACCAGTTGTAAGCAACACTGTTATTTTCATTTTTTGTGGCTGCTACTGCTAACTTTAAATCAATATCTATTAATCAATGGCTGTAAATGTATAAGGATATAACAAATGTTTTGTATAATATGGTGATGGGCTAGGGGAAAGGACCTTGACAGATTTTTTTTTTTAACATTATCTACAGGGCTATAATAAAATGTTTCTCAAACTATCACAGTTTTTCCTTCATTTTCCCATGGCAGTGACCATATCATAGTTTTGCGTATTTCATTTCTAGTTTTTCAGGGTAAGTGTAATTTAATTTCCTACCTCCACCTGTCCAGGTTCTTTTAAACCTTAAATGCACATTTCAACATGAAATTGCAATGGGGCTCATTTACTCTGGGGACAAACCCGAACCTTATTTGTGTAGTTCAGTTTGTCACTAAATGGCACTAAATACGATGTCACCTACATAATTTAGGAGACAACATTCTTCCCCCAGTGTAAACCTGATCTCATGTACAAGTAGAAGGAATTCTATGATGTGGCTTTAGGGATTCGTTTTAATGAATTATGCACTTAGTGTGGCAAACAGAATTCATGATCTAACAGTTTGTATTTTATAAGAAAAAAACATAATTCTCTCCAAATTCTTCTCAAGCTTTAACATTCTGGAAACATAAGGAAATGAATAGTGAAAATATCTTCTGATAGTTCAAATTAGCAGATCACCATCTTACGGGTTGCTGGTTAAACCTATTTGTCTTGGCTACTGACCAAGATGAAGTTAGAGTTTGCTAACTAGCTTGGAGATGCTGCTCTGATTTTCCCATTCCTAGCTCATGTTACCTAGACACTATACTTTCCAAGAGTATTACATTTTTTTTTAAGCTCTTTCTTTCTCACCTCCCAAAATCTCTTTACAAAATTGAGTATTACAGGTTTCAACAACTAACGCTGCTGTGCCTTCTGTCAGCTGAATGTCTAAAGCACAATTATTGTCTAATTTGCTTCTTCACTTTCAGTTCTTGTCCTTTAGTGAGCACTTAATCATTGTATGCTCAAGGCTTTGTTCTGGTCCTTTACTTTGAGCACTAGGCCCTCCATTCTCATAGATTACAATTATGTAGATAAATGACAACCCAATCTACTTGCTTTGAATTAAACTTTTGAACTCATTGATATCCTGCTTTGTAGTTATGCTACAGTAATCTTCCTTTCCAGATGCTCTTCCGTCATTTTTGCTTATTTCTCTCCTTATCATCTGTAATTCCATCACATCTTTGGCAAATTTCCTGAAATGTCCTATTTATTATTAGACAGGAGTTCAGGAATGGAAGTGGAGAGCCCAAAGAATGAAAGATTTATACCATTTTCTCACAGAGAAATTTGTGTAGAGTATTAAACCCAAGGCCCTTGAAAACCTAACAGAGGTAGGAAACAAAATGACAGCCAAAATGCATTTAAAATATTTCCAATTAGAAATGTACCAGTATAAGACTGTTTAAAAAATTAAATAACTATTTTCCCTTTAAAAGGACTAACATTAATTATTTTAGATAAGATGCAAAAGAGAAAATAAGAGCAAGTTTAATCGGTGGTCTTGAGTTTCACATTCATCACTATCTTCAAACACCGAATTGTTCCCCAGAAAATCTCTGTACAGAAGTTCTGGCACCAAGAAAATTACAAAATAAAAAACAATGTTTATTTTCAGAAAATTCTATCACAAACTACATTCAATATCTAATGAATAAATAAACCAATCAATCACAGACTGTCTAAAAATAATCTTGCTTTTTATGAAGGCTATAGGGCCTTACAAAATGTTATGGCAGTTTATATGAAAACTTCACTTACAAGATATAGGTGATTATTCCTACAGACCACATGTCCACCTCAGGTCCATAGGCACAGCCTCTGAGAATTTCAGGAGCTGCAGAAATAGTGAAAACTGTGTTAAATTGGAGATTAAATTCACCATTCATACTTGAATAACAAGCAATGAGGAGGGAACTAATTCATTAACAAAAACTTCAGAACTGTTTTATAACTAACCATGTCTCCCAAACCCAAGTATGAGGTTGCAAATTCTTATGTCTTTCTGCTTTGGGGATACATAAGAATAGTGCTATTGACTTTAATATTCTACATTGGAACATCGTGTTACTGCTCGAATGTGATAGACAGAGATACATCTCTGCTAAAAAAGATTCCTTACTTCAAAGGGAGCTTTGTACATAGAAAACAGGAAGAAATGAAAGTTTAGCACAATAAGGGACAAAAAGGCATCACAGTGCTCCCTTGAGATGAGAACTACTCGGGGCAGAGGGTGTTGCTGACTGTGTACGTCACTGTGCAGGGCAGGGGCCAGGCAGGTGGTGGGAAGGGCTAGGAGAACTCTATGCTGGAAGGTTGGAACAGGAGCTAGGAGGGGCCCTGGCACATGTCGTAGCATTGAGAGCCACATATGGGTCCCCAAAGATCAGCTGACCCTAGTCAGCCTGGGGGATATGAACTGAGAGAGGGGGCCTCTCTCTGTGCACAATGAGGTGGTTCATATCAGCCCTGTCCTCTGTTGTGAAAAGGCAAGGTCTTCTCAGCCTCGAAATAGCAAGATTTCGTGTTTTTACTAGGCGTCAAGGATTGGGGGTGTTGTTTGTTTGCCTAAGAATGAAAGAAAAATGAGGGCTCCACTACTGACAGAAAAATACAGCTCAGGTCTATAGCCCAGAGTGGCCTTTTTTATTTTGAACAGATGTGCTGTAGATGCTGGTATGGTCCCTGGAGAAGGAGCTGACTAATGAAGGCTGAGGGTTCCTTGAGGGAGGCCTCAAGAACAACACATCCCTCCCCACGCTGGGTGCAGAAGAACAAGTGAACTGGATCCCTCATCCATGAAGGCTGGAAATGCCATATTCAGTGTGGACTGTCAAAGTGAGCTCCAAAAGGGGACTCTGGAAGTCCAGAAGTCCCTCATGGGACTCTGGATTTCACGTATGGGAAGAAATACAGTGGATTTTCCACCAAAAGCTTACCATACAATCCCCTACCCCCACTTTTTTCCAGTAAGGATTTTCTCTTCCCCATGAAAGTTATGTAATATAAAGTATAGATGATAAAGAGCCTGTAAGGTGAAATAAGCGTGTGCATTCTAGCGTTCTAACCGGTAATTTAGCAAGATCCAAGATGTACCCTTTAAGAAATTGTATCTGCAGCCAAGAAGTTTTTTCTTATCTGCAGGTAAATTATTCCTAGAAAATCTTCCTTTTAAGATTTAATTAACATAATAAAAATGCATGTTCAATGCTAATACCATTCACTTCTGTCAGGTTAACTTTCATTTCCCAGGGCAATCTATGGCCTCCAGAAGGTTCCTTTGAGCCCCAACGCTAAACTCCGCTCCCAAATACTTTGCTCATGGTGTAAAAGGAACTCAGGTTAGGCTACTGCTTCCCACAAGGGCTGTTACTGCCTGTCTTTGTCACTGGGAGCTGTTCCAGTCAGGGAGCTAAATGCATGCATATTTCCTTCCCACTCAGCATCAGTGATTCTTATCTGGTCTGAAGTGCTATCCAGTCCCACACTGACATTCAAACATAAACACAGAAATATGTTGGGGAAAATCTTTTACCTTTTCTGGGTCTTGGTTTTCACTTCCAAAAATTAACTAAGTTGGACTAGCTGATTTCCAAGTTTACTTTGAGTCTTAACCTGCTGCCCACCGAGATATTAGTAAAGAGATCCACCACCAGCTGCCATGGAGTTGATTCTGGCTCACGATGGGTGGCCCCATCTGTGTCAGAGTAGAACGGTGCCCCATAGGGTTTGTAATGGATGATTTTTTGGAAGTGGATCACCACGCCTTTTTTCCGAAGTGCCTTTAGGTTAGCAGCCAAGCACAGTAATCGTTTTCACCACTCAGTAAAGAGATACTTACTGGTAATTAAAGCAAGAAGAGAGGACAAGAACTCTACCTGCAGAACCTACTGCATTTCCCATTCCTCCTGCTGAAGCTGCTACTGTGTCTGCTGCCCTGCACAGATCTTCTCTGTTGGCTCCAGTGAAATCAACCTTTCCACCTTGTGCTGTCTAGATACTCACCCTGGCAAAGGTCAGTTCATCTCCATAGCTCCCAGCCCAAGAGCCCCACATGAAGTGAATGCCATGGAACCAGGGCTTCGAACTAGTTCATTCGAGTTTGAATCTCTGCTGAGAATTTGCATTTCTACCTCAGATATACTGAATCAGAACCTACATTTTAACGAGGATTCTGATTCAGTATATCTGGTGGGGGTGGAAATGCAAATTCTCAGCAGGGGTTCAAACTGGAGTGAACTGATTCAAAGTCCTGCATGGAACACTATTCTTTTTTGGATTCACTTTTGGGACATCTGGGTTTCTTACTTGACATAGCAATATTTGACCTCGTTTCACAGCAATGCACATGCAGCCTGCTACCCCAGAGGCAATTTATTTTCTTGTAATGAATGATACTGCAATATGAGTAAACTTGTGGTGTGAAAACCTCAACTTCTCACAGTCAGGTTAACTGAGACAAAAGGGATATGGGATGCTTTTGTCCTTCAAAATGAATTCCTCTTAAAATGAATTTTTTTAAAAAAAGAACTTATAATATTTACTAAATGTAATATAAAATTTGGATGAAACATAGTATAAAAACCTCAACTCAATAGTATTAATGATTAGATACTATTTTCAATAACTTCTGCATATTTTTGATGGCTAGTTAATATAGCCTGGACCTTCTGCAGAAGCAGCAGAACACACTCCTAATCTATCTCAACGGTTCCTGAGAGCCAAAAGCCTTTCTGGAATACATCTAGGCTCTGGCACCCGACTCTAGGTGCCTCAAAGTCTCCTAGGTATTAGATGTCCTTTCAGGTGATTCCACTAATTTGTGATCTCCCTAGAGTGAGAGATATTTGATTACTTCCAATTTAGTTCAAGAAGAATCATCAACTAGCCCACCTTTTAATGCTGTAAGCACTCTCCACAGTCCTTCATATCTTTTCTCATCTCGTTACCAACACAAACCAATAAAAATAAGAAGAGGAGAAAATCATTTAAAAGTGTAATACAGGTTTTAAAATGCATGTAAAAAGACTGAGGATGGTCTTTTCTGATTATTCAATAATCATTTATTCATTTTCTTGGCTGTCTTCTAAGTGGATCCACATTTTCGGCCACGTCTTAAAATTACCTTATAATTCATGTTATTGCTCGTTAAATACTAAATACTAAGGTACTTCATACTTCAATCTCCAATACAGAATAATTTTGGTAAATAGTCTTGGAATTGCCAAGATACCAGCCTTACTTAAAAAAAAAAAAAAGATTTTAACTGAATTTGAAAAATCTCATAAAAACTTCAAACTGTAATGAAAATATTTATTTACCAACATAACACCTAGACCATAGAGTGCAGATTCTCTTTTTTTTGGATAAGATGATGGCATCATCAAAACATATAGAGATCGGGATAAATTTTATTTTCTCAAATAAAACCATTGCATGTAGTTCTGGAAATGGTCCTACAATAAAAAGCATCAGGCTGTGACCTTTTGGAAGCAAGTCACCAGGCCTTATCTTCCAAGGTCCTTCTGGGTGGGTTTGAACCACCAACTTTTGGTTAGTAGTCAAGCGCTTAACTGTTTGCTATCCAGGGACTCCACCCAAAAAGGGAGATCAAAGTGAATGAAATCAATGGGTTCCTTCATTCACTCACTAAATAAATCATCAAGTATTTATTAAGCACCTGCTGTATGATAGGCAACTGTGCTGAGTGGTGCTAGGGGAATAATGGTGGAAGAGTTAAGGAGAACAAATTTTTGTCATCATGGAGCTTACAGTTCAGTGGAGAGGAAGATGTTAATCAAACGAAGAAATGCAAAGTAGTAACTGGACATGCTTGGAAAGAAAATGTCTCTAAGTGGCCTAACCTGGTCAGGGATGTCAGGAAAGATGATGCAGGCAAGCAAAGTATGAGCTGAGATGCGTAGGAGCTGGAGGAGTTAACCAGACAAAGGAGGAGAAGGGGATGGATGAAGGAAGGGAGAGAAGTTCCAGGCAGAGAAAACACATATGCAAAGGGCCTGTGGCAGGAAGGAGCAAGGGGCACTCAAGGAACTCAAAGAAGTCAATGTGGCTGGACCACAGAGTCATGCGCAGCACAGCTCAGATGTGATGAGCCTATTGAAGCAGGTAGAAGCCAGACTGCAGGTTTTGTAGACCAGGGCTTTTGTTTGCTTGCTTGTCTGTTTTTAAATTCTATCCTATGCATTTGTTTTAGTAATTCAAAACATATGAAGGAGGGAATCTTTTTTGTATTTTGAAGCCTGAATTTGACTACAGAACTATTCTCCCTCCCACTGCTGAAGAGAAAACATTGTGGGATTTTTCACCTGTAGATGCTTGTCTTGAACTCAAAAGTTTTCCCTGTGCCCCCAACATTCACTGCATCTTTAGCCCAGCATCTAGACATCTCTTTGAACTCTGTCTCTGGAGAGTGAGCAGTGAAGGAGGAGGAGGAGGGATGGAGGTATCTGCCAGGAAGTAGAAGAGCAGTGGTTAGAAATTCTCTGTCTCTTCCCAGCTCCTAACTCAGCCTAGGGGCCCAGAGGAGAAGAATGCACTCAGGGGGCAGGTCCCTATGGGTGGCAGCAGTGCTCAGCTGGGTGGACTCCAAATTGGAAACTTTTTTCTCTGAGTGGTATGAACGGTTAACATGCTTGGCTGCTAACTGAAAGGTTGGAAGCTCAAGTCCACCCAGAGGCACCTTGAAAGAAAGGCCTGGCAACCTATTTCTGAAAAATCAGTATTGAAAACTCTATGGAGCAGTTCTACTTTGAAACACATGGTCACCATGAGTCAGAGTTGACTTGATGGTAACTGGTTACTGGTACCTTGTTTGGT